CGTTAAAGTCGCACAACTGAATGGTGCTCGGCGAGAAAAAGGATACGCTATCGAGTCATGCCATAAGAGCAACGGATCTCAAAACCACCGTGCCGAGCAGAAGCGGCCAGCCCCAGGAGCCAACGCTGCAGAATTCCATCAAGTAAGTACCAGAACGGGCAAAGCCATTCTACGGTGATGGGAATCAGAACAGAGGTTGCCTGGGTGTGTGGGAGTGGGGAGGAGGCCCTGATAGGCGGGAACGAGGGCCGTTCCAGGAGGGAAGGAAATGTCCTGTGTCCCATTTTGAGTCGTGGTCACACAGGTGTGGTGAATTGTCTAAAATCATTCAGCTGAAGACGTGCGGTCTGTGCAACTGATTGTATCTTCACTGGACCTCGGTGACACCCAGTTACGTCATGAAAAGGGAGAGACTGGAAAGAGCTTGTGAGAAAATCCACCTGCCGCTTCCCATCATACACCCGCCCCCCAGGTCCTGCGAAAGGAGCAGAGCGAATTTCCATTCTGCGCTGGGAGTGGGCAGGACTTGGTGGAAAACTGTTTTTGGTGTTTTCTGAAACTCTATGAACAGAGGCAGGCCCCTCTGCAGGGCAGGAAGTGAACCCATGGGCAGGTTCTCAAGGGACAAGACCTCTGTACCCGGGGACAGTCCCCCCACCACACCTATCTCCTCATGGCCTTTCTCTCTCGCCAGGCAGCCTGGAGATGCTTGTTTTCACTATTTTTTTTTTTTAAACAAACATTCTAGAGACAGTTGCTTTGTGGCAGGCCCTGGCTGACACCCTCTGGTTTCTGTCCTTACGGGAGAGAGACTGACAAGTAAATTGGGTTGTCAGCACACAGCGGGGGCCCCAGTACCCTGTGGGGTCAGGAGAAGAGACCTCCTTGAGGGGCCATGTGAACGGCAGCCTCAGGTGAGGAAGGAACCCAGGGACTGGAGGGTGGGAGGAGTGGGGGAGGCAAGGTCAGGAGGGCTCCAAGCTTCGCAGCACAGCAGAATCGCCAGGGGACCTCTGAAATGTGTCCACGCACAGATCCCACCCCTGACCGACAGACTTGCCATCTCTGGGGTAGGACTCAGGCATCATCCTGTCTTTGAAGAACTCCCCGGGTGAGTCCAATGGGCAGCCAAGTTTGAGAACTCGTGCTCTGGATGGAGGGGACAGCAAGGGCAAAAGCCAAGAGAGAAGTCCCAGAAAGATGTCCGGTGGATTTGGGGACCGAGGAGCAGAGACGTATGTGAAGTCAAGAAATGCAGCAGAGGAGGCATCCTGGGCTGACCGGAGCGCCCGCCGGCTAGAACTCCGCAGCCACTCAGAAGCTCACACCTGACTAGATATGGAAATACAGTCTTTGAAGGTACAAGCAAGCTCAGGATAGAGGGCAGATCAGGCAGGATCAGCGTGGGCCCCCACCCCAATGACCGTGTCCTTGGATGAGACCGAGGAGAGGGTCTCATGAGAAGGCGGCAGAGACTGGAGTGATGCCCCCACGAGCCAAGGCGTGCAAGACCACTGGCCAGCACCTGCAGCTGGGAGAGGGGCCTGGAACATCCCCCTGTAGAGCCTCCAGAAGGTACCACCAGGCTGAGCCCTGGATTCTGGGCTCTGGCCTCTGGAACCGTGAGACAACAGATGTTTGTCATTCTGAGGCTCCCCGTCGGGGGCACCTAATCCATGCTCACCCTGGGAAAGTCCTACAAGATGGACCCAGGGGCGCAACCACCCCGATAAAGTCACACTGGTGTTGAGAACACAGAGGAGCCTCGAGGAAAGGAGAATTGTCCCATTGCAAGGCTCTGGAGGAGGAAGGCACCACAGCTGGGTGTGGGTGTGTGGTTGGGGAAGAGAGGGGTGTGCCCTCCTGCCCTTGATGCGTTCCCTGTTCCCGGAGGAGCGGGAGTCGTGGCTGTCGGTTGTCATCAGCAGTGGGAAGGGGGTGGGGGCGGCACCTGGAGCCGGCAGGACCGGGGAAGCTACAAGGTCAGCTCGGCTGACAGTCAAGGGAGAGAACTGGAAGCATCTCCTTGGCCATACGGAAGGCGCTGGCGGGAACAGGGAAGTAGCGTGGAGTGCCCGTCTACGCAAAGGGGAGCTCTGACCTCTTGCGTGCTGACCCGTGAAGGAATGTGAGCAGTGGACGGTTCTAGCAAATTAGTCCACTTTCCAAAGAGTGGCCTCCAGTAATCTGCTCAAGTTTTTTTTTTTTTCCACTAGAATCGAGAACTTACCCTTGACCCCCAAGATGGTATAGAAGCTGCACGTCCAAAGTGTAAGTAAGCGAGCCTTGCAAAAAAGTATCAGCCCATTGAGTGTGTTCCTGCCAACTCACCCTCCCCACGGGGTCCATCCTAAGTCAACCAGTCAATAAAAACTTACCGGACACATACTGTGTCTGCATAGGCTATAGACTAAGTGTCAATAAATAGTTACTGAATATCTCCGTAGGAACCCTAGAGTAAGGCCATTCGTCAATAAATATGTACAGAACCATCAGGCAGTGGTCTAGGCAAATAGGACAAAGGAGGGAATAAAAATGACAGAGGATTCTGGGTAAGAGAAAGAGAGAGAGAGAGAGAGAGACCAACTGGTGGTTCAATGTGGTATTGCAAGGAACCATGGTGTTCTAGAAACCTCGAGAAGTTATTTCACAGAACTGGAAAGCTGGAGACTCCGGCTCTGCTGCCTACTGAGTAAAAATGAGTGAATCACTTTACCAAGAAAGTCTGTTTCCTTATCTGTCAAAAGGAGGTGGTTGAATCAGCCAAATACAGAAAAAAGCCTACGTCTGAGGTTCAAACAAGTTTGTAACACCCCAGAGATCTTGCTGGAGGTGCACAAGGTTCAGGGGTGATCCTTAAAGTCTCAGATCAATAGGAGATACTTTGACACAGACACAGAGAGAAACAGGGTACTCTGGCATGTGCCTCTCTTGAGGCCGCCTGCTCCCCACCTTGCTACAAACCACAGCCCCATCCTGTAGTGTGAGTCATCTGCCAGAAAGAAGAGACTTTATCTTCTCAAAATCCCCCAAATTACTGAGGAAGAGCCCGAGTTTCCTTCCCAAAAACATCTCGAGATGTTCGAAACCAACATTGGAGCGGGGCAGCCTCCGTGGCTAGCACTCAGGGGACAGGGGTGGGGTCTGCTGGGTAGGGGAGGGGAATTCCAATGTTTCTGAGATGATGTTTTTCAACACTCGTTTTCCTTTGTTGTCTGCTGTTGGGTCTTTCTCTTCTAACATCAGAGGACAGACTCACTACCACGTTCAGCCTGATCCACACACATCATGACTCGTAAGGCTGGAAGAAATCATAGGGCCCCTTCATCTTTTTCCAAAGACCAACCAAGACCAAGTTCTGGCTTCTCTCCCAATGAGAGCCCAGGCTCTTTCCTCATTGGCTTTCAATCCTGAGGGTCAGGCTTCCTCAACCCTCTCTGCATAAAGATATTCATGCATTTGCTTTACTCATTAATGTCTGATTAAGATTATCTCTGATTAATCAAAGCCACATGAAGATTTCCTTTGATCCAAACAGTATTTTTGAATTTGTTGCTGTGGGTTTTTTTTGTTGTTGTTGTTTTTTGTTTTTTTTTTAATCAGGAGAGTTTTGGTTTGTCTTAGAAAGTCAGAGGATTTGGCCACCCCTAGCCTACAGGCCCACATGGAAATACTGGCTGGGGTAACAAAAAGGCAGTCCCTTTAGGTGGGGAACATGTCCTCCTGCTCCCTGGTCTCCACCACTCCCTACTGCCTCCCACCAAGCCACTCTACTCCTCCAGGGGACCTCCCTGGCCTCCATAGGCAATGGATTTTTGCGACACAGAGTTATGGTAAAATGTCCAGTAGAAAGGAAAAAGAACCCTGAAACACAACTGAATACAGAACATGACTGTAACAACATGAAAAATGTTCTCAGAAGAAACTAAGAAATAATATAAACAGCTTCGATTTCTGCAACAATGTTTACTTTTTTCTCCTTCATGCTCTGACAAACGATTTGTGAACTCTCAAAGCCGGGGCAGACGATAAGCTTTGCCATGTCGAACTGCAAAAAAACCAACTACAAACCCTGCCTCAAGCACCCGGGAATGAGCTCAAAGCAGCTGCCTCTTTCAAAGCCTCGTGAGAACAGGGCCAGCTCCTGCTCAGGGCCTGTGCACATGGCAGGTCTCAGCCACCGCATACTGGATCATTCTAAGATTCCTCTGGATCTTTGTCTGGGCATCTTTCCCTGTCCACATCCCAGCCCTGCCGGCACAAGTTAGCCAATCTCTCAGCTCCTGCCACCTCCCCCCTACAAAGTGGGCTTCATGGCACCAGCTATCACCAAAGACTGTGAAGATTCTACGAGCTTTTGAATGCTGAGATTTTGGCACTGAGACCCGAGGAATCACCGCTCCAGAGGCGAGAGCCACTGGGATACTCTTCTGGTGGGAAGGAGAGGTGAACAGGGGCCTGGGTGGCTCAGTGGGTTAAAGCCTCTGCCTTCAGCTCAGGTCATGATCGCAGGGTCTTGGGATCCAGCCCCGCATCGGGCTCTCCTCTCAGCGGGGAGCCTGCTTCCTCCTCTCTCTCTGCCTGCCTCTCTGCTTACTTGTGATCTCTGTCTGTCAAATAAATAAATAAAATTCTAAAAAAAAAGAAAGGAGAGGAGAGGAAAAGAAAAAGAGGACACTGGGTACAGTAAAACCACTCCAACAGCATCTACCCTCTTTAAGACCAAAACATTTACGCATTTCGAATGTTCTGAACGAAGCTGTAGGCTACCCGTTAGCTGTATTATTTTTTAATTTCCTGTGAGACCACGAAACCTTCCACCAGTAAATAGAAGCAGAGAGAAACTGCTACATGGGCTCTGTCTCTGGGCCCTTGGGTCCTCTCGGAGCCCCTGATGACCCCCTGTGAGTCCTGCGTCGTCTTGCTGGGCACCTTGCCCCAGGCCAAAGGTCACGTACATACACTTTGCAGAGGCCAACCCTGCCCGAAGCCCAACTTACAGCACTCAATGGGGTTAGACGCCGTCTGCAGGGAAACGATCCTGCCGCTGGACTCTGGAATGTGCACTCGGAACACCAGGCGCACCCGTGTGTTCTTCCTGCCGATGTCCGTCTCGCCTTTGCGCAGCTCAATGTCGGCGTTCCGAAGCTTCAGGATCCCCGCGCAATCAATGCTGTGGGGAGGTGGAGAACCCCGGTTAGTACTGAGCATCTCAGGGGAAAAGGAAAGATCGCCCACAAAACCACCTTACTCAGTTAACCAAAATCATTCCACCGCCAGCTACGGCGATGGGGGGAGGCAGGGAGGATCGCAATCCACAGTAAACACTTCCGCCAGGAACTGATGCCCAGCCGGAGGTCAGACGCCTGCAAAGTCAGGAGAGAAACCCCCAGGGGAAATTACTTCTCTAGGGAGGTTTTTTTCCATGCCAAATTTTCTACTCCCAAAAGTATCTAAAAAGCTCAAATGTGCAATGGGTAAAATTGATTATAGACGGCTCAGTAGGTAAGAGGGACGTATCACAGTAACTATCTGTAATTTGATAAATGTACTGCGGTGACCGAAGAACGCATTCTTGTTCTGAGGAAATGCACACTCACGCATCTAAAAGTTAAAAAAAAAAAAAAAAAAAAAAAAGTCACTCTGTCTGCAGCTAAGTCTCAAACAGCTCAGGAAAGGGCAAAGAGTGAAGGGAGCAATGACGCGTGTGTGGGGCACGTTCACGATCGGCAGACCTGAGTGAACAGTAGACGGGAGTTCTTTGTAAGATTCTCGTGGTTTGGAAGTTTGAGATTATTTTCTAACATGGAGTTTGTTTTAACGCCAATATATGGGTGCAACGTCTCCCAAACTTTAGCTATAGGCCTATTGCTTGGTGAATTTTGACCTTTCTGCATCCTTATTTAATCATTTCTTTATGCCAAATAAATCTTGAAATGTACATAAATTAAGCCTCATCCCAAGTAACATAATCCACAGATGCACTGGCATTCTTCCTCCTGACACCCACGACAAGGACTTAGGCAGAGAACTCTGAAAATAGAAACTTTCTCAACAAATCTCGAAGGGTCCATCACAGAGTGGGAACCACCATCCATGGTTCGTTCCTTCTGCCAACACCAGAGTCCCCTGTCCCAACTTCCTACCGCTCGCTTCCCCATAAAGACCCACCACCCTTGGTCCCCAGCCCTTACGTTGCCCTCATGTTGTTTTTTGGCTCTAGTGGAATCTCCAGGACTTTGGTGTTGCCCACGATCTTCTCATAGCTGGTGGTAGTGACGGTTTTGCCCGTGATTCGGTGCACCTGGTAGAAGGCGTGGGGCTTAAGGATCCGCTCATCAGCTGTCCCAATGAAGATCTGAAGTCCCAGGGGCTTGTTTTCCATGTAGCCATGGAGCTGTGGGCGAGAACACAAAATCAAATTATTATAACACCTTTAGGACACAGGGTGCTGGTGGGTGTCGTTCCACAAAAATCTGAGAAGATCCCAGGCGGCAGAAAGAGCACAGGATTGCTGCACCATCTGGAAGAATGGAGAACTAGAAGGGATCTTGACGTCCGACCAGAAGGGCTGCTTCAATAAAATACAGACACCCTCTCTAAAATGGAATATTAAACAACCATGAGAAAGAATGTAGGAGATCAGAACTGCATTTATGAGGAAACAGCCAGAAACTGCCAGTGTTCAGTGTTGTCAGGAGGGGTATGGGGAGAGTGTCACATGGTGGTGAGGACAGAAAATAATCGGGAAAGCTAAACCAGAGCTCTGGACAGTGGTAGCCTGGGAAGATCAGAAGGAATTTACTCTTTTTATACGAAGAGATTCCAACTAACACGTTATATTTTTTAATTAAAAAAAAAAAGAAAGAAACAGCTGGGCAAAAGTACCATCATCTGAGTCCAAAGAAGATTAAAGACTGGAGAAAAATGTGTGCAACACAGAACAGGCAAAGGATTAGTACCTAGAATATATAAAGAATGCCTATAAAATTCCCGGCCATCCTATTTAAAATTGAGTCTTTCCCCCAGTGGGTAGGACTACCTCCTTCCTTCTTCTCTAGCTCCCTTTCCTTCTTTTTATTCCATCTAATATTATTATATATTTCCTCAATTCCTTTTGGTTACATCTTTCTTTTTTTTTTTTTTTTTGCAGAAGAGAGTGTGGGTGTGGGTGTGTGTGTACAGATGCGTGTGAGAGGGAGAGGAGGGGCAGAGGGAGGGGAAGAGAGAGGGAATCTTAAGCAGGTTCCATGCACAGCATGAAGCCCAACATGGGGCTCGATCTCACAACCCTGAGATCATGACCTGAGCCAAAATCAAGAGTTGGGCACTTAACCAATTGAAACACCCAGGTACCCCAGGTCTTTCTCCTACAATTAGACCATCACCTCTTTGAGGGCAGGCATGTCTATTTATTTTACTTGTCACAACATCCCTAGCCTAGAATACTGCTTGGTGCATTGTGGGCAAGCTGGTACACGTTTGCTGAATGCATTAACAAAATTATCCAACAGAAAAATGCAAAAGAAACGTCAACAGGCAAGTCACAGAAAAACAAATGGCCACTGGCATGGAAAAGATGTTCAATCTGACTTATAAACAGTAAAATGCAAATTACATAAAGATAGGAAACCATTTTTCACCTGTTCGATTGGCATGCATGTTGGTATTTGATAAAATCACACGTTTTAGTGACTTCAGGCACAGAGGCATGCTCACACAGTTCACAAGAACATACCCTGGTATAACTGTTTTGTTCATTTTTTTTTTTAAAGATTTTATTTATTTGTTTGACAAAGAGATAGAGCACAAGTAGTCAGAGCAGCAGGCAGAGGGAGAGAGAGCAGCAGGCAGAGGGAGAGAGAGAAGCAGGCTCTCGGTCTAGCCTGGAGCCTGATATGGGGCTCGATCCTAGGACCCTGGGATTATGACCTGAGCCACCCAGGCACCCCTGTTCATATTTTTTTAAAGACTTTATTTTTGAGTGATATATACCCAGCATGGGGCTGGAACTCACAATCCCGAGATCAAGAGCTGCGTGCTCTACCAACCAAGTCAGCCAGGCGCCCCTTAAAGAGAATTGTATAGCAGCTATTAAAATTAAAAAATACATATTCCCTCTGACCTGGTAATTCCATTCCTCACTATGTGCCCTAAAAGAAATACTGTCCATTCAGGAAACATGCACAAAAATATTTACTAAAACAAATGGAATAATAAACAATTACAGCAATAGGATTCTGAGTGATATGAAATGTCCAGGCTATGAAATACTACATCAATTAAAAAACAAACAAACAAAAAAAGTAGAGATCAATGAGTTGGCCCAGAAAGATCTAAGACTCACTACTGAAAGAAAAGACAACTTGCAGAAAAACATGTATTACATGATACGACTCATTTTTTTAATGCCGGATGTCTGGGATCTCTCCATTGATAGATATAAATACAACAGGAAAAGATGGAAGGGCGCACTCCACAGGGACCACAACACGGTCACGTCTAGGGATGGAGGAGGAGATCAAGGTTAAGAAGGTGCTCACAGAAGACTCCTCCCACTTGATTCACAATGAATGAAGGATCGATGCCTAGACACTTGCGAGCTGTAACACTGGTTTAATATCTATGATAACAAAAGAAAGAGAGGACCAGGCTGAGACTTCGAAGACGGTGTCCTGTCTCGCCACTCCCCAGCTGAGAAACACTGTTCCTTCCCCAGCAAACTGCAAGGGGCTATGACAGGTGACAGCTCCCTAAATCCTACCCTTCTCTGCAAGTCTCCAGAACTAGGATCTCCAGCCAACTGCCCGAAAGCAAAGGCCGTCCGGCCATGGAGGATGACACAGGGTCTGGAAACTCTGCGGGCCCCCACCATCAGTACAAAAACTAAAGAAAAGGGAAAATCTAGTTTCTCAGACACACTGGCCACATTTCAAGTGCTCAAAAGCGACAGAGGGCGAGTGGCCACTGTCACAGATAGCACAGACACAGAAGACCTCCAACATCAAATTCCATTAGACGGCACGGGTCTGGAGAGATGCCGTTCTCTCTACCCTTCCAAGTGCGGAGACAGGCAGGGAGGGGAGCTGAGCATGGCGACACCTTTTTTTTAAAACCTGCCAGGCTGACACCCACAGCATTTACATGTCTGGGACACACCCAAGAGACGCCCTGGGGCAAAGATGGAAATCCCAGTCAGAGCCTCTTATCTTTCTCCCCCAGGCAAAGTGAGGAACAGGGCCAGGTTCTCTTGCAAAAATCCAGGGGGCAAGGTCAGAGTCACGATATTGTTTTTGCTGGGTTTGCTTTGCATGGGGACCCAAGATAATCAGAAGTCCATCCCTCCCGATATTGTTTTTGCTGGGTTTGCTTTGCATGGGGACCCAAGATAATCAGAAGTCCATCCCTCCCGTCCTGGAAGTCTGGCAGGTAGTAAACAGAGTTATCACACAGTGAAAAGTAGGCCAGAGAGATAGTGAGCACGGATGGTCTCAGGTTCCCTCCTCTGCCCCAGGACCAAGAGCAGAAATTGCAGCTGGGTGTGCTCACGGTCAACAGCCAGGGGACACCTGAAGACAAAACTTGTCACATCCCGACAGCTCTACCTGAATCCAGTCATTTCTGTATCTTCCCCGGCGGGCACACGCACCCCAGCATCAGTGCCCCTTCGCTGGCCTCTTGCTGGCCTTCCACGGAAAAGCCCAATAACGTTTAAAAAAAAAAAAAAAAGTGCAAATGAGACTCAGACATGCCTCTGCTTACAACGCTCCTGAGACTTCCTGTGGCCTCAGACTTGGTCCCAGTGTCGCTGAGGCTTCCACCAGCCCAGCAGCTCACTTCTCCCTCCACCCCCATTAGGTCCCTGCCAAGACCAACCAGTCTTCTGTTCCCTGAGCCCACAGAGCTCTCTCCAACCGCAGGGCATTTGCACAGCCCCCTTACTGCCTAGAACGCTCTGCCACTGGTACATTTTGTTTTCAGATACCTTCAGGTCTTTCCCGAACCACACCCAGGGCTGGAGCCAGCTTTTTCGGCCTTGCAAGAGCCACTTGTTGAAGGTTTTAGAAATTTTAAGAGCCAGTTGGTGCTACAGTGGTAACCTGAAGTCAGCCACAGTAGGGATATTTATACCACAAAAATTGGCAAATGCTACACATTGGAGCTCTCCCCCGCCCAGAGAATCAGACAATGCACATTCTCGAGCACACCCCTGGCATGGTGACTTCATTAACATCTGAAATGTTCTTGCTTTGTTGTTTGCTTAGCACCTCTCCCTCCCGCTTGAACTCGAGGTCCAGGAACCTTGTTGATTTTGTTCTGCGTGACCCATCAACGTATTGTGTTCACGGTCACAGGCAACAACAACAACGGCCCAGCAAAGCACATGCTTCCCACAGGCCGAGCACCATGCCCCAGCTCCCTGCACGACGCGCCCACCGAGGCTTGCAAAGGGCAGGGGACCCGTCCAGCTAACTTGACTAGGATAGGGCCCCGTTAGCAATGTGCAGCCAGGCTCTCGGGCCACCCTGCTCCCCCTAACTGACACACGCTCTGTGACCTGGGGGGTCCACAGCTGCTCTGGGCTCGAAGACCAAGGTCAGAAAGGCAGATCAGGTCCTCCGAGGAAACACAGGTCAGTATGCCATTGGAGCTGCAGCTTGTTCGTCCTGCTACACAAGGGCGGGGGAGGAGGTGGGGGCGGGATGGACAGAAAGACAGGCACCGGAAATCAACACAAGTAATAGCGCTGAGAGAGAGACCCACTCCTTGAAGAAGGACCCCTCTGCATTCCAAAGCAGCCCCCCAGATAAGCCAAACTGGCCGCCACCTCCCCAGGGGGGCGTCCCCTCTGCGTGGAACAGAGAGGGGTGTGGGATGGTAGAGAGAAGAAAGGATTTCACTCTCCGTCAGACAGCTGGATTTCCACCCTGGCTCTGCCACTTATAAGCTGTGACTCTGGAGCGGGGACTCCACCCTCCTGGGTTTCAAATGCTCCCGTGAAACGGGGGTGTCACCTCCTACTCCCCGGGGCTCTTTCAAAGGCTTTAATAAGACGCCTTTTGTGGGGCCCCAAAGGAGAGCTCCCAGTAAGTGCCACTGGTGAGCAGAGGCTTTTCCTTGTCATCTGAGGATGACATGAATCAGAACACGAAGGTGATACTACAGAACTGAATGGAAAGGTGCAGAATGAATGTGAAAGACTAGCAAAGTGAAAAGCGACCCGAAACAGCCTTGTGGGAGGTAAACCCGGCACTAATTCCAGTCTTCTCTGTGGGCTGGCTGACAGCCACTCCGTCATGGAGGGCTGGAAGGAGGCGGGGCCCAGCGAAGAAACCTCACCATTTTGCAAGAAAAGCAAAGAACACTTCCCCTCTACCCTCCCCACCCCAGGAAGGT